CATGTTTGGAGCGGAAAAGAAGCGGACTCTCTTTCTCTTCTTGGTACTGTGCAAAGAGGCATCTGTGTGAAACATAAATCCTCGCCAAACGTCGGCCCCAAGTAGGTCTGTGACTGAACGCCACCGAAACTCGGAAGAACTCACCCCGCAAGACCTCCGGACCACCCTTTTTCTCCTGCAACGACCACCTCACTGTGGAGTCAAGTGGCATGCCTGCCCTGCGGCCCGATGGTAGCACAGGACACAGAACCAGCAACCTCAGCAGGGTCAAAACCCCCAACTCCCGCCCCTGGCGCGGCCACTCCCTCGCATCGCTGCTCAACGACGCGCGCCCGAGCTGCACGCCCTTGGAAAAGGTGAAACACCTCGGAGGAGACCGAGCCGAGCGGCACGTTGCGGCCCAGCAGGAAGAGCGAGATCAACTCTTCCCCTGGTCTCAAGCGCAGAGAGAGAAAGGCACATGACCTGCCGAAGGTCATGTGGATCGACGTCGGTCCGACGAACCCCAGACAGGTTGGAGGTCTACCCAGGACGGACGCGTGAACCCCAGAAATGGCAGTGCGTTCTCAAAGGAAAACATCGCCATTGGAGCTCTCATAGAATACAATTTTGCCCGCAAGCTGTTGATAAACGATCTGTGCCTGGCAAGAGATTGACACTTGATGTAACTCAACCTCTGCCATCCTCTGCCAACTCTTTGTCGGGTCCAAGCAGTGTTTGGGGCAATCTGCCAAAAAGTGTGCCTGCAAACACCACGCCCCCACGTTGCGAAGTTCGCGGGGTGTTTGAGCGCCTGGTGAACTTGGTGTCACCGTTCTGGAGCCGACTGGGATAGTGACACATGAGCCAAAAGCAAATGGCCAAAAAGCTCAAGGGTATGAGTGATCCACTTCCGGAGATCAGCACCATCTGTAGATGCTCGTCTTCCCAATTGCAGGCGATCTCCGGATAGGCCTGCCATCGCCCGCGGAAAGGCGGGGAAACCCGCGGAAAGGCGGAGGCACAAAGGGAGGGAACAGAGGCACACAAAGGCTTCGAACCATTATATGACGTGAGGAGAGAGGAAACCCGTGGGCAAAAGAGCTTTCGAAAAGAATCTGCTGAAAATGATGCGAGAGATGATGGAAAGGACCTCAGACTAGCGAACGATACCTGGATCTGATGTGCTTGGTGATACGCCGAACGAGAACGAACCAGGGGTCCCGGAATCCCAGCAAACCCCTCACGGGTCCAATGCATCGTTGAAGCGAGGAACGCAGAGGAACTCCACTCAAATCCTCCGAGTCACACCATGCTTGACCGAAAAACATGCTCCGTCCCAGAAGCGGGACCCTTTGAAAAGGAGAAGCGCTGCCATGGTCAAAAGGTCAAAAGCTACATGAAAAAAGAAGCAGACAAGACGACAGACATCCCACGACAACATCCAATGGGAACTGTGATGTGGCCAGTGCAAGGTCAAACACTTGCACTTATATTATGGACCAACTAGGACCATACATTGCCGCACGGCCAAATATGATCCTCAAACAGCGTATAGCAACTGATGTTTGGCTGAAAAGAAGAAGAATTAAGACTTTCCATCTTTCACTGTACCATTTTGCCTTTGTTCCGTCCCTCCGGTGCAGAAACCCCAAAAAACGACCCACACCACCCACACCCCTTTCAGCGAGGTGTCCCGCTCCAAGCGAGGCGGAAGCCGTCCAAGCCGTCCGCGTGTCACGCCGCGTGTCCGTCTTTCGCTGCGAAGCGTCGGACAACGGGAGAACAGGGCGGCCTGCAGAGTCCGGAAGCCCGTCGGATGCGTCTGACAACGGAAGGGCACCAGAAGCCACGACCTCGGTGCGACGGAGAGGGGGGTTTCGTTCGCACAGGGCGGGACGGAAGCTTCTGTGCCGGTTTGTGGAGGTGATTTCAGTATAGAGGGTACAAGTGAGGAGAAATGAGTCGAACAAAAAAGGCCTCTGAAGTCCTAGAACTCTTGAGAAATGACCCCTTTTCCCCCCCCTCCCAGGACTTGAGATGTATATAAAACCATTTTGGTGGGTGTGTCTGATTGTGTCTGATTGTGTTTGCCTGCAGAAGACTGGTCCCCTTGAGGTCCCTGCGGGTCAGGTCCTGGTCCCTCCGAGTGGGTTTCGAGTCGGGCCCAGTCGGTGCGAGAATCAGCGAGCGGTGGAGGAGTTCTGCATCGATGGTTCGGTGTCCAAAGCATCGAATTTGTGAAGAAATCTCCAGTCATGTTCATCTTCTGTATCGAAGAGGGCCACGGTTGACCTGTTGCTGTAGTGTAAAATTCCAGTAAAGCAATGGTGGTTCGGTATCAACCATGAACCAGGAGTCACAATGTGCCGAACTTGGAGGATAGGGGTGCCCATTATCCACTCACCTAGGGACTAAAAACCACCCTTTTGTGACTCTTCAAAATCAATGGTTGTTGGAAGCCTAGGGTATACATATGTCATATACCCAAGACTTCCAAGAACTGGTTTTGTAGTGTAAAATCCTTCGTTGGTTCGGGATGACCCGCCTATTAATAGTTGGACGTCTGGGGTGTCTATAATATATGCATTCATTTTGTATAGACAAAACGATACATGTTCTTCTTTCACTGGCGCCGATCTGAGTTCATCCAATGAGCGAATCACGTGGCCTTACGCCTCTCAGAACCCCCAAACGGTGGCTTCGTCCAAACCGGGCGGAGTCGGACGGCAGGTGACATCATGGCAATGAAGAAGACCACGAAGATGGTGCCAATGGTCCTGGCGGAAGCGAACTGAGTGCCGCTGGGGTGCCCTGTCTGTTACCCCAAGCCCAAGGCCAAAGCGATCACAGCCATCACACGCCAAGGCCAAAACGCCACCAAGCCAGCCTACTTTCGACGCCCACATGCACGCCATGTACATTCGCTGCTTCCTTTCGGCTTGATGGCTGGATTCATTGGATTTGGAATGATTCCGGTGATCAAGGACCCGAAGTTCTCAGGGTGCTTCGGGTGTTGCATCCCCTTTCACTTCCAACTCGTCTTCCTGCGCACACGACGTCGCGACGTCAGCCGCTCGCGTCCTCCCGAGGAGGTGGAGCTCCAAGTCGCGCCATCCGATCATAAAGAGAAGGTGATACATTGAAGGAACGACTATGAAGAACAAAGGAACGAGCAAAGTCTGGACGGCATACCTCAGTTTTCGACGCCTGTGCTCACGCTTAAGACGCGCGTGTCCGAGGCTTGGAGACCAAATAACTCGACCGAAGACGTGGCGACTCCACCGACGACTCCAGTCGCAGCTCAGCGGCCTCGTCGCCGTGTCCATCTGGGCCATGCAATGGGTTTCCTCGAAAACGGCGCGCAGCCTTCACCGGTTGACACAACCAGGTTTGGGCGTTGGGACCGTCCAAAGAAGTCAAATCACCCCGTTCGTAGCGTCCTTGCTCCTAGTAGTAAGGCCAGGAGCCCCTAGTAGCTTCTTGTTACTAGTAGCTTCTTGCTACTAGTAGCGATGCCAGGAGCCCCTAGTAGCGTCCTTGCTCCTACACAGGGCCCACAAGGAGTGGTTCATGGGCACCTCACCCTAAACCTCTAAGGGGATATGACTATAGACTATAGACCCCAAACAAGTTCGCTCAAAAATGGACGGAGTCATGCACCCAAAGGAAAATAACAAAATCACTTCAAAAGGGGTGTGCCTTCCAGTAGCGAGATTTTGAACCGGACATGGGGGTCTATTCTCCTTCTTGCTGTGGGAGCCGAACTGACTGGGGAGGTCTCCCTTTTTAAGACGACGACACCCAGATTGACTTGGATCATGTGCCTTGAGAAACGTCCCGACCACCCGGGTCTCACGGATCCGTCTGTTTTGGCATCAAATGAACTGCAAGAAATGCACAAAACACATAACTCATGTCAGTCATAAACAGAAAGTGACTGGCACAACGACCACTAATCCACTTCGAAGTTCGTTCTTCCAGTTTTGACGGTCCAAAACCACCAACTTCGAAGCGTTCGCAGAAGCCAAAACCTTCCTTCACGAAAACCGTCCCAAATCGACTTCCCCCATCCGCCCAGGCACCGGCATCGACTGCCAAAAGCCGGGCTGAAAGATGTCCAGCCAGGCGATCGGATTGGACCAGGCCGTGATGGTCTGCATCACTTCCTGACCGCCCACCCCGACCGCCCACCCCGACCGCCTCGAAAAGCCATGGGGTGTCACACCTCGGTCGAGAGACCTGACCGTCAGGGGTCCTCTCCCGCCGGGGGGGGATCGGTCGACGTGGACCAACCCGGTCGCCGCCGCGTCGCATGGCAAGCGAATTGGTGGGGACGAAGAGGTGGGTCGGAAAAGAAGGTCAGGTTCCGAAAGTCGCCAGCCCCAGTGCGGGAGAACTGCGGTTTCAGAAAGGGGAGGTGGTGATGCTCTAGCCATGAAAGGTTTCTGGGGATGGTAGACCTTACCACTCCATGTTTCTCAGGATGGTGTGGGTAGTGCCTACTCTGCTCCATCACAGACCAGAAAATGACGGTGTGAGTCACAATCCGCCCTGTTCTGCGTTGCGACAGCGAGGCCTTGGGCGGGCGGAGAAAAGACACGGACCAAGCGCAGAGAAAAGAAGACCGAGTTCCTGAAACGAATAGATCTGTTACGTTCGTAGCTTCTTGCTCCCAGTAGAAATGCCAGGAGCTACTAAGAGTTTCTTGTTCCCAGTAGCAAGAAGCTACTAGTTCATTAGGATACATTCCTTTAAATATCTTAGAATCATGCAATGGAAGTGAAGAAAAACCACCTGTTTGGTTACAGGAAGTTCATCGTCATCCTTACGGGGCTGGCCCCCATCCATGAGCTTTCCGTTTTTCGCTTCAGGTGAGGTCCCTCGTCGTCCGATCTCGGGGGTTTGCACCGTCTCAAACCCTGCAGCTTCACCGCGTGCATGGAGGAGATTGGATGAAGATGGAGGAGAAGGAGGCTCCTTTGGTTTTTTTTCCGGTCAACTCTCTCAACTCTCCCCTTTCATCCCCTTTCCGTCTCTGTCAACTCGCCCCAAGGATCGATAAGTTGCAGGAAGGTGAGTAATTCGCAGACACCGATCTCCGCATGCAAGAGGCTCGTGGAGGTGGATCTCCTCGAGTTCGCCTTCACGAAGAGGAAATGCACCTCGCGGAGCCGGGGGGCGGAGCCCATCCTCCCAAGGCCGACGACCGCCATCGACCGACCGCCTCGTCATGAGTGCGGCGGACTTGCAGGTCGGGCCGCTGTCGGGGACCCTTCGGCGGACCGTCAAACCGGTCGTGGCGACCAATCGTCTCGTTGTCTCGTGAGTCTCGGTTCGGCTCAGGCTGCGACGACGCCAATGAGGGACACGTGGAGGGCCAAGTACAGGAGGACGACGACGTGTGACCACGCGCCGTGGCTCTCGCACGAGATGCAGCCCTCCTGATGCGACCTGGTGGGGGGCGAGCGAGCGGCTTGAACAACGAGTTGGCCAACGAAGGCCAACGAAGTGTTCCGAGCTTCGAGTCCTACTAGGTTCGGTGAAGTATGACCCTTGGAAATGCCCATCTGTTCCAACCCAAAAACAAACAGGCTGGTTGAACTCAGACCTCCCTAAAAGCTGCCCAAAACAGATGCTTTCAACCTTCCGGTGCTGTGCTGCTCCGCACCTGTAGCCCGCGATACAGGCCGAACACGCCAAGCTCTTGGGATCGCGGCCCACCGCGCAACGGCCCGGCGCTCCGCCGGGACAGCGCAGCTTGGGCAGCACGTCGTCGAAGCATTGGAAAACCTCACCCGGCGAATCCTCGCGGCCGCGGGTTGGGCGCGCGCGCTCGCCCGAGGGGTCGGCGGACGGACGGACGGACGGACACCGGGTTCGAACGGAGAACGGACGGACGAGGAGAGCGTTTTGGGACGGAAAGCAGGGGTGTGCTTCGCTTGGCGGCGAAGCGGCCAGGAACAGTGAAGACAGAAGCGAGACGAAGAGGTGAAAGGAAGTTCCCATAAAAATAGATGGAAAGGATGGTCCAACACGGCTTGGAGAGTCCATCGAAGGAGACACGGATGTCGAAAGGAGACTTTGTCCATCCAAGGACAATGGTCAGTGCAGCAAACAACCAAAGGAATCAAGTGGTCTGGTTCAACGCCCCCCCTCTGCTACCTTAACATCCAAACTGCCCGGTGTTCCTGTGACCATCCCAAAAGCATCCCAAAAGCATCCTGTGTCAAAAATACACCATGCACAAAAAAAGAAAAATAGAAACCTTCCAAGGATGGCTTCTACGTCCACAGTCCTGGTGAGCGTAAAAGCCCGGCTGCAAGGTCATCCGTCCGTCTTGGCAGCTGGAGCCTCCCAGACCTCATCGTTGAAAACCGGTCAAAAGGGGCCAAACGTACGAATCCACCAACCTGGTTTTGCCACCAGTTGACCGGCGAACTCTCTTCTGGTCAGGTACTGTTTTGGCCCTAATTTTTTGTTGTTATGCTTTCTGGTGCATCGTATGGACAGAAGCAGCTTCTTGCAGTGTCCAAGGCTCACTCCACGCAATAGCCCAATGGATGTGCGACCGTTCCAGATCTGCAAAGTGGTTTCATCGGGATCCAATCCCTCCAATGGCTATTGGCTTGCAGCCAACAGCACGCCGCCTCACGAGCGCTCATCTTGGCCTTGTTCCGCGAGCGAAAACGGTCTGACCGTGGTCCCACTACTCACTACACTAGTCACTGGTTGAAACTAGTCTCACATTCCAACGGGAGGTCACAATCTGCAGCTGGATCGCCTGAAGAATCTTAATGCCACCCAGGTACTAGAGATAGGTTGCGGACATCAGCTTCTGAAAAGGACATCCTCTTCATGAATTCATGCACTCTTGGCGCTTTCACCTGCAGTGAATCACGGCGAGGTCTTTTTCTTCGATGGGACCGGTCGACCACCTGTCGACCACGTCCACCCGTCTGACATCGAAGCGGCTGGCAGGCGGCTGGCAGCACCCAGGGTCCCGGTGGGACCGTTTTTGCCATGGTTTTTGCAGGGAAGAAGACTGGAGATGGATGTAAACTACTGAAAAAGGCTTTGGAATCTGTGAAAGCAGCGAACTTCATCTCGAAATCAGGTTGAGGAACCCGTGGAGGAAAGGAGGAATCAGAAGAACCCAGCTGGCTTCGAAACTGTGGAGGCCATCCCTACTAGGAACCCAACTGGCTCGGGACCCTGCGGTTTAAGCAGCCCCACATCGATTCAATCCGAAGAAAAGCTTCGAAGAGTGCAGTGCTCGATGCCATTCAATCTTCGGGGGGGCCTAGATTGTTTGCTAGATTGTGTGGGAGTGAGTACTTTGATGCGTTTTGAATACTTTTGATCCCCTCTGGCTGCCCCTCTGGCTGCCGGCCCCCCTCCCGGGGGGCACCTCCAAAGCCGCGGTGACCGCGATGCTGGCGTATGACGTGGCAATAGCACCGGGCAGAAACACCTCTTGAGGTTCCAGATCGATGAAGGTTGTATCGGGATACCACCAATAGAATATAGCACAGGCACGTTCTTCACGAGGTGCACAAACCTCTCCCAACTCTCAACGTGTCCGATACGCACAGGCATGCTGTGCTTCGCGGCCGAGACCATCACGGCCAACATCTTCCACTCAGCACGCAGGAGCAGTGGGATGCACTCGCTAGGTGCCAAACGACACGCCGGCGCCAGCCACCACACCCCATTGACACAGCGAAGAGTGGATGACCCCGACGCGTAGACGACCCCGTCCGCGTCACCGGTGAGCGCCAGGTACTGATCGAAAGCACCGAGCTCGGAGCAGGCAGTGAGATCGGAGCGATTCACGTCGGAGGCATTGCTGAAGTACTCCTCGCTCGAGTCGAGGCCGAGGAGTGGATCCGAGTCACGGAACGAACCGCGAAGCGGGCGCTTCGCGGGGGGGACGGGGTCAGAATTGCTTCCAAACGCCCCATCCGAGCGGGCCTCCAAACACCAGGTACCGAAGCTAGTCTCACAGGGGTCCAAGGTCGAAAAGTTCTGACTGATTGCCGAGAAGCCGAAGCCAATCGTCGCGAAGAGTTGTAGGTCCTGCCAAGAGCTACTAGCAGCAAGGACGCTACTAGGGCATCGCTAGTAGGTGGAGGCCATTACTACTAGTAGCAAGGTGCCTTGCTAGGGGTCTGGTGACCAGGTCTCACCACCAAACGTTGACGTAAACCCCTCAACCCTGCGGTGGATTTCAGTGATCGTGAGGATGGGAGAAGTGGAACTCACATCGTTTCGTGGAGTGAAGTTACGAGTGGCCTGATCAAGGCATTCTGCAAAAAAGGCCCGGTGTCCCTCACAAAAGCTTGGAGGCCATGGCGGCCATGCCTATTAGTAACTCCAAAAGAAAAGTGTTATTCTCTTACCCGAAAAACAGTCTTTTGCAGTTACACTTTTCGGGTCGCAGTGCCGATCCAAGTCGATGGACTGAGACAAAACCCGCCCTCTCCCCGCCTGAAGTGATCCAACAGGAGAAGCCTTTCTTCGAAAGCAGATCTTCTCAAGGAGTCTCCGATCCAAATCCGCTGCTCTTGTAGGAAGCCCATGGAATGCACCTGGACCCTCTGTTGAGCTCCATTCTGGAGTAGTTCTTGAAAAGTGGGATTCTCTGGTAGGCTCCGTCCAAAAGTGTTGATAACCACATGGTGCAAGCTGCGCTCTTGGCACGAAAGGGAAGAGCGGCCCGTCAATTCACATCCAGCCAAACCCAACAAGGCTTGTTCTGCACTGGTGCTGGTGCCCACCAACACATGATAGCCCAGGATTTCTTCAATGAGAACCCTTGCCACTGCGGTCAACAACATGCTTGAGGCGCCTTCCAGATGGATGACCCGGAGCGGTTCTTCATCTGGAAAATACGAACGGTCTTCGGCTGAGACACCACCTGGTATACAGCTCTCATCGCCCAAGCTGCTCACCAAGGGCAGGACAATCGCGCAAATCTGCCGGATCATTCGATTCTCAACGTCATCGGTACGCCCCAAATCAGCTACGAGGTGGTTCCATATCTGAGATGGCTTGGGTGGTTTGGGGTGTCCAATGGTGCTGCAAAGGGTGTTTGCTGGGCAAAAAGTGGGTGCTGACGCCAACCTCTACTCTGAGCAGTTGCGATGGATTCGGCACAAACGTGTTTCGTTGTTTGTAACGTTCTTCCAACATACTGTGCACTGACCCTATTGACGACTCAACCACAACTGTCACAAAATTTCAAAAGGTATGTGTTACGGTTACCTAGCTTGTCACAAACCATTGAAGAACATGGTGTTTTACCCCAAGGTCCGACACAAATCCAGGCAGGGATCTGCCAGAAACTACAACTGAATGGTCGTTGCTGTACTCCGAGACCTTTGAGCGGGGATAAAACAACCTGCTCAAAAACATTGCAATTTGTATGCATGCAATGCGCATATCAACTTGTGCACGTCAAGCATTGGCCACGGGGCAAAGTCTGACCACCAAATCAGCACTTGCGAAGCGACGGACAGCAACAATCAACGAACACAGAAAGATTATGAAAGATTGGATGAACTGAACCGGGATTCCGGGCAAACCAAATGCTCAAAAGAATTTGATGCCAAAGTGCGAGGCATCCACATGTGTGAGGCATCCACATGGACCAGTGAACCCCACTGTCTGCCGAGACGTTTTTCCCCACACGAAGGCAAAAGATTGGAGGTTCAAGCAACTTTTGGGGAACCGTTCCAAACAAGCAGTTCGAAGGTTTTGCGAGGATGTCTTTCAACACCTAATAACAGGATCTGCAAAACCCGCCAAGCCAACACGAAACGTCAGACCCTAAACTCAATCCAAGTGCGATGTCGTGCGCGTGTTGCAAAGCACAGCAAAGTCGTTGTAAGGTAGAGGCCATCGTTACTAAGGTCACTTTCTTCTTAAAACTATCTCCATCCCATCGTGCTCTCCCATCCGACGTTTGAGAAGCACCCGAGGTTTGTTCGAGGTGGTTCGGATGGCCAAGCCCACGCCCGAGCATTTGTTAAGAATGGTTGAGCGCGAAGGCAAGTGTGGAGCGCCCCGTTTGAAGAAGCGCCGGGACTACAATGTTACGGTTGCGTTTCGTGGCTTTCTGTTGGTCTTTGTGTTTTCTTGGAAGTTCCTCACTCCGATCCAATTAAAACTTTGTAAAACGCAAACGGGGTGTCGGTACCGCGCATTGTAATAGAGGGCCCGAGCGGTACCGAAGCGGTACCGAGGTGGTACCGCGCATTGTAATGGAGGGCCCGAGCGGTACCGAGGCGAACCGCGCATTGTAATAGAGGGCCCGAGCTACCGAGGCGGTACCGCGCATTGTAATAGAGGGCCCGAGCGGTACCGAAGCGGTACCGAGGCGGTACCGCGCATTGTAATAGAGGGCCCGAGCGGTACTGAGGCGGTACCGCGCATTGTGATGGAGGGTCCGAGCGGTACCGAGGCGGTACCGCGCATTGTAATAGAGGGCCCGAGCGGTACCGAGGCGGTACCGCGCATTGTAATAAAGGGCCCGAGCCGTAATGAAGTGGTACCGAGGTGGTGCCGCGCACTGTAATAGACGGTCCGACCCAACCCAGATTGTAACCGCAAAAACCCTATATAGCGCGTTGCAAGGGAAAATTTGAACATTGACGCTAAGATGGAACCGGGACCCGGGCGGAAGCCTGGCGTAGCTTGCAACAAACATCAAGGACGCGAGCTCAAAACCTCAACAATATCTTTTCAAAACCCCATCCTTCACAACATGCATCAAACAACGACGTCAAATAAAACGAAACAAGGTTTCCTTGCCATAGTGAACGACCAGAGATGGCTCCTGTAAACATACGCAAACATGACAGGCTCCACGGTGCCAAACCTTCGCTTAACATCTCCCCACCCTTCTTTCCTCTCATCCAAAATTAAGACAGACCACAAGCTTGATTGCTTTCGATCAAGAACATCATACAGGCCAAACGCCTTCTCCCCAGCAATTCTCAACCCTCACAGGTTTTCCAAACTTTTTCCTCCTTCAAGGGATCGAAAAAAGTTATTTTTCTGGACACCAGTTTGGGGTCCAAAAACCCTAGCAAAAACCGGTCCCGCCACAGAGGGCCTCCCCAGTAGGAAAACGGCGTTTCACCCTGTCTCACCCATTTTCGAGTGGTTCATGGGGCTGTGCATGCGTTGGCCGATCTTGCCTGGCCACTACTGAGGAAAGTTGCCATGATTCATTGCTCCTGTCTCACCTTTTCTCAGACGGCTTCCATGGCCACATGAGTTGCGCAACAGGTTGCTTCTCTTTTCTGGTGGTTTTGTGTGTTTGGTTAGGTTGTTTGGGAGTTTTGGTTTTCTGTTTTTTTTGCACGAGTCGAGGCGCTATGTGCGCAGGTTCTGCACAAGTCACCTTGTTGAAGTGAAGAGAGAGTTACAATACAGCCACAAAACTCTCAGCAGTTCTTGTCCCTCAACAACTTTGTTACTGCTTTGCTGCTGCATGCGTTGATCAAGGCAGGCCAGGAGATTTTGTCCAAAAGACGAACAGCATCCTGAGGCCTCCCTCCGTGGGGAGGGGCGCTTACAAGTTTATCTGCCAAGTTGACAAGCCATGTCATTGCAATGCACTTGAAGGACAGCAGTGTGTCATGCAAGCGGTGACCGACAGCGGGTCTCCTTGAATCAACTTAGGACAGACTGGATGTCGGCTAATTGCTTTGCTGCACACAATGACCAGGGGCTCAATGTCCGTGCGGGACAGGTCAACTGTCTGGAGCCGTTGACAGCGCTCACAGGCAGCAGGCCCAACCCACGTGAAATCTGGCGGAAGGGAGAGCGAAACGATGCCGGCTTCTGTTTGACACGCAGTGGCAATTTGGGGAAGACCACTGCACTTGCGATCGGGATCTCCAAAATACTGAAGGAAAGGAACAGTGTGGAGCCACCATGCAATGATAAATCATGAGCCGCCAAGACAGCAGCATGTCCCGCCCCTCCCCCCCAAGGGGAAGGAGGCAAAAGAGAGGGTGTCAATCCCGCACCGGCTCCCAAACGGCTCAGCAACGGGAGTAGAGCAAGGGACACACCTGCTTGGCAGCGAAAGTGGGCATCATTCCTCTCAAGGACACAGCAATCAAGCACATGGCATCTTTCCTCCGTAGTGGCCAGGCCAGATCGGCCAGTGCATGCAACAGCCCCATGAACTGCTCGAAAATGGGTGAGACAAGGTGAAACGCCGTTTTCCTAAATCTGTGCACTGTACCCATCCAGCGCCGCTGCGTGGGCAGCAGCCTGGGCACTGCCTAGCTACTGAGGCCAGCAAATTGGAAAGGAAAGCGTAATGGCACTCTCAGGACCAACACACGGGCGCTAGTCTGAAAGGCTGGCATTGAGGTGTTGGACGGTGTATGCTTGCTTAATCTGCCTATCGAACTTGCACTGTTGAGCAGCTTTACTGCCGGACAGGCGCCACAGCTAGCGGCCGCGTGTGGCAGAGTTGTTCAATTGATTCTGTGGTTGTCTTGGTCCTGGTCACTGGCACATTCCCAGGTCTACAACAGAATTGCTTAGATGGGCATCTATCTCGTTGGAGCACTCTAGAGAGGTGGCCACTGATCTGGACAGGGCCAGCACGCGGATACCAGCTGAAAGGCTCGGCAGCATGCAATTCTAGACACTTACCACCAATTTAGGACTGCGTAGGAGTCATCTGCCCATTTGTCCTCATCTTTCCGATCAAGTGGCAACAAGCGAATCCACTTTGGCATGTCAAGATTGTCACATTTGAGAAACGCATCAGCTCTTGAGCATGTTCCCCAGGTGGGCGCATTACGAAGGCGTGGCTTCTAAGGCCAGCTATCCAGGCAGGGCACTGCTTCGTTGCTCTGGTGGTGATGTGTGCTCATGGGAGCTGGCCTCTAGCCAGGGCTAGCACCCGGGTGCCAGCGGGCTCAGTAACCTGCCTCTCTAGACACTTACCATTGACTTGGTCCTGCATGGGAATCATCTGTTCATTTGTCCTCATCCTTCCGATTGAGTGGAAGAATGCGAACCCACGTTGGCTTGTCAAGGTTGTCACACTTGAGGAACGCATTGGCTCTGGAGTATGCGCCCCTCCAGGTCACGCTTTTTCCCTTTGCACGAGTCGAGGCGCTGTGTGTGCAGGTTATGCACAAGTCACCTTGGTCGAGTTAAGAAGGAGTTACTGTACAGGTTGCAAACCACACAGAAGAACAAAACCCCCAAAACACCCCAACCAAAACACAACAACCAACAGAAGAGGGAAGCAACCTGTTGCGCAACTCGTGTGGCCATGGAAGCCGCATGAGAAGAGGTGAGACAGGGGCAATGAATTCCGCAAAACTCTCAGTACATCTTGTCCCTCAACAAACTGATTGGTACTTGCCTAGTTCATGGCAGGGCCAGGAATTTCGAAATAGTAACGGGAGGCAAATCGAGGCAAATCGAGACCTCCAGGTCACGCATTTTCCTGCTCTTTGAAATTGGCAGAGCTGTGTGCAGCCGGCGAAGGCACGTCTTGCAATACACAACAGCGTCGGTGGAACACTGACTTCTTTCAACGAAGTGCACTGAGAAAAGCTTCCTGCTCGATTATTCGCAGTTTATGCGGGAGTCTTTGGTGTTGCAGGTGTTCACAGTGTGCAAAGGCAGAGCCCATGATCTCAGTTGCTTCTGTACTTGAGAGATCCACAGCTGCAATTGCAGTGCAATTGCAGACTGCGTTCGCAGGCCGCAGGTCCAATCCATGTGAAGTTTGGAGGCAGGGACAGTAAGGTTATTCCCGCCTCAAGGAAGCAGCACTCAGGCAGACAGCGTGTCAGATTGGCAGGACTGACTCGAACTGTCCCAAATCGGTGTCGCAATGCAGTGCATTTTTCGAAAGCCCTGGGCATCAACTCTGCTTGCGGGGCTAGTTGGTTGACCGTGTCGTCGCTGGTTCCAATTTGCGTCAGAAAGCAGCAGTCTTCAAAGACTTGGATTCCAAACTGCTTACAGCCTGGGGCAAGTGCCGTGCGGAGTGCAT